TGGATAGCCTAGCATTGGGAAAGGATGGACTTTTGAGTATTGGTTTAAAACTTCCTATGCTTGGAAACCGTTCTTTAGTGTTGTAGGTGTGTTATAGTTTTTAAATTTCTAGTCTGCCATCCAATGTAGAGAAGAGAGGTCCAGCTTACTGGTAATGTAACTAGTGGCAGAAGTGAAACGAGTGATCTGTAACTAGTAGCTGTGAAATCAGCCCTGCTTTTTATTTCTATTTATCAGATTGCTTCTGAGTTGAGAGCAGACTTTGTAGACAGAGTTTTGGATTCTATTGTCTGGGATTCTATTGTCTGAAGTCCTAGAGGTTTTTAAGGAAGCTGTGTTTTAGGAAGATATGCTTGGTAATAGTGTGGATGGTGGACTGGCATGGCAAGGGAGAAAGGGGCAGGACAAGGTGCCAAGAGTCAGAACGAGAATAGTTGGAGTGGAATTGTTACACAGAACGTTAGAACAAAAAGTCAAAAGGAAAGGTGGGCGTGTGTCCTGTGTAAGCTTTGCCTTGATGAAAAGATTTTAACTATTGTGAAGGAAATATCCCATGTCCTAAGGGAGAAAAAAATTGTGAACATTCTTACCGCTGTGCTCCCCCACACCCTCAGTGCGCCGCTCTGGTGCTCACCAAAACAAGCGGGGTAGGGGAAGTAATGTTTTGTTGTCTTTTGTGATTTTGAGAGGGGTCAAAATTTGTAAATGTACTGTAAGTACATATACAAGTATGAATTTATACCTTGCTCCGATCCAGAAAGAATTAAGACGGAATGCTTTAGTTACATGTGAAAAACCAGCAAGATGTTTGCATTAAAGATTGGGTGAAAAGCGGGGTGCCTGGGGTCATGATCTCATGGTTCGTGAGTTCGAGCTCCATGTTCGGCTCTGAGAGCTTGGAGCCTCCTTCAGATTCTGTGTCTCCCTCTCTCTGCCCCTCCCCTGCTTGGGCTGTCTCTCTCTGTCTCTCAAAAATAAATAAACATTAAAAAAAAAAAAAAAGATTGGGTAAAAAGGTAAAGTAAGGATAGAGATCTAAAACAGCAAGAAATTAGGATAAACTTCTTACAAACAGTGATACTTGGCTCATTGTAGAGAACTTGCTGAATGGCCACCAGTTTCACTCTCAGAATTCAGTGTGTCCTAAAGGTAAAGATAAATCACATTCCTGAGATGAAAATAAACTGCTCTTTAGGAAAAGCATAAGTGTTCTTGATAGTAACAACCTGAAAGAAATATTAATGAATCACAAATACTGTGGCTCTGTATCTAATGTGGTTTTTTCCTCTTTGTTTTCATAATTGTAGAATTTTTATTTTTTTAAATTTTATTTAGTTTGAGAGCGAGAGCACGCACGCGCTCAGGCATATGCAGGGGAGGGGCAGAGAGAGGAGAGAGAGGATCCCCCAAAGCAGGCTCCACCTGTTGGTGCAGACCTGATGTGGGGCTCCATCCTGTGAACTGTGAGATCATGACCTGAACCGAAATCAAGAGTCGGATGCTTAACTGAGTTGCGCCCCTAGAATTTTATTTTTAAAATAGAATAATGTCTGAAGAAAATTAAGTACTGGCAAAAATGTCTCTAGAAAGTGATAGATAATGGGCAGATGTCTAATGTGTTCGAGAATGGGAGGAAGAGCTTTGTGTTCTGGGGATTGGTAGCTGTCCGGTGAATTGTTCCAGGAGAGTGTGTATTTTTGTTTTGTTAGAAACAGAACAGCAAATAAAGGATCCTTTAAATTGTTTTATCAGTCTACTTGATTTCTAATTTAAAATTGAATGGCAAACTCCACTTTCTCCATTTACGGTACAGTCATGGCTAATGTTTCTGCTTGGGACATTTTGGACATTCAAAGCATATGGCAGCCTGGAACTCCCTAGTCTAGCTACTTAAGCTAAGATTAAGTCATTTTTATTGGAGGCACAGGTGTCTTGTAACTTTCATAACATATTTCTTCTTTTCCTTTTATTTGGTTGTGATTTATTTTTATTTATGCGTTCTTGAATTAGTATTATGTTCTATATGTATACATGTATAGATATATACGTTTTTTCCTGAATTAGATGGGATAAATAAATGTGATTTTATTTTAGATGATGCGACTGTATTTTGAATAGAGTAAATAAAAAGTTATAATTTGCATCTGATATGTTTCCCTATCAAAATGTTAATGTGGAAACTAATATAGAAATCAACATTTTTTTTCAAATTAGGGTGAGCAAACTTGATGTGAATTTAGAAATATGAGTCTATATCCTAATGTTCTGTTGATACTGTTGATGTAGACAGGGCCTTTCCAAGCATTGTTTTTTTTGTATGAGAATGAAAAACCTTAATATTGAGAAAGAAAAACATGGGAAAGATAAGTGAGCCTTAACCTCACAGAGAATGGGTACTCATAGTTTGTTGATGATCCCAAACTCAGCTGGTAATGGATTTCACCCCTTCAGACAGGAATGAATGCAAGAAACCTATTACTTGCTCAAAACAAAAAACAATACAATAGAGGCTTATTACCTGAAGTTTTGAAAACATGAATTCCGTTCAGACTTGACGCGAAATCTCTCCTTACTTGAATCAAGTCTAGCTAAAATGAACTTTATACTTATTTTCATTTCTGGCTCTACTCATCTTAAAATCTTTTTTTTTTTTTAATTTCTATTTTTATTTTATTTTTTTAATTTACATCCAAGTGAGTTAGCATATAGTGCAATAATGATTTCAGGAGTAGATTCCAGTGATTCATCCTCTATGTATAACACCCAGTGCTCATCCCTACAAGTGTCTTCCTTAATGCCCCTTGTGCATTTAGCCCATCCCCCCACCTACAACCCCTCCAGCAACCCTGTTTGTGTTCTATATTTAAGAGTCTCTTATGTTTTGTCCCCTCCCTGTTTTTGTATTATTTTTACTTCCCTTCTAAAATCGTTTATAAAAGTATTTTTGATCCTGGGGTCGTCATGAAGGGTGCTAGTTTGCTTGGAGAAACTCCTAGGAAGCAAGAAAAATATGAGAGTGAATATATATAATCTCTTTGGGATATGTGGTTAAGTGTGCTGTTTTTTCATTTAATATGTAATTTACTGGAAATCAGAGTAGTGTGTGAAGGAGAATTCTCAAATGGTTACACAGTTTTGAGGGCTACCTTTTTGTTGTCAGTTTTGTGGAATCTGATGATAACAATTTGTTTATTGACAAAAACATACACTAACCAGGACATGATGAATGCATTTATTGGGTTAATTTTGTATATTTTAATCATATGAGATGCTACATAAGTTTGGAAAATAGAACATTAATGTAAGGTATTCGTGCTTGGTACTCAGGTGAATCCCCAGCTCTGTGAATTAACATGGCTTTTGCATAGGTCTGCAGTTTAGGTTACAAGAGTAGGGAGAAGGATCTGACATGAATTAGTTGCTCTAACAGGTATTATATCTGACATACTTATTTAGTAAATGTTACTATAAAACCTGAGTTAAAATTGAGACAGTGCATAACTGGACCAGGAAACATTGACTAGATGATACACAGACCAATGGCTAACTTAGAAACAATCAGGATGGCTGTCCTGGCATCCTTAGGTCTGTGTTGGTATCAGAAGACAAAGTATAGAACACAGCCCAGCGTTCACAGTATAAGCCAGAACCCAGTGGACAAGTATTAAATGCATAACGGAGCTTCCTGCATGGGACTCTTGCATTTGGCATGTTGCTGCTTAAGTATAGTACTTCAATTTTTCTTTTTTGAACTTCAGTTTTTTTTTGAATTTCAATTTAAAAAATACATATTTAGAACTTGGAAAGAAAAGGAGAGGTGTGTATGTGTGTAAAACGAACACTTAGTTTTTTAGTGAACAGAGTTTGGAAAAATAATTGATCCAGATGTTATGTTCTTTCCTTAGCCCTTTCCTCATTTTGTATGTTATTCGATTTTTTTCCCCCTAAGGTTTATTTATTTATTTTGAAAGTGAGCGAGCTCTTACATGCAAGCCGGGGAGGAGCAGAGAGAGTGGGAGAGAGGGAATCCCAAGCAGGCTCCTTACTGCCAGCACGGAGCCTGATGGAGGGGTCGGGGGAGGGCCCAAACCCACGAACTGTGAGATCATGACCTGAGCCGAAGTCGGACACTTGGCGGTCTGAAGTCAGCACTTAACTGACTGAGGCACCCAGGCGCCCTGGACTTGTTAGTTTTTAAGTAATAATTGTGTTACTTACCTTTAGAGCTGTTGTCCATTGACTTAGAATTATTTTAACAAAAAGAATAAAAAACCACTGGTTTCATTGAAAAATTACTGGAGTCGAATTAATTTCTGAAAGCATTTCAAGCATGCCATGCCTTTTTTTTTTAAAACCAGTTATATTAAAGTCCTACTGATTGTAAAAATTGGGAATTCCTCTTAAAATGGAAAAAACTTTTAGACTAGCATCACTGTGGAAGTGTGAGCCTCTTATCACAGATGTGTAAGGTTTAGTGTGAATATAGTGCCTCCCACTCCACAAGTTATGTTTGTTATTTGCCCTGTATTTTCTGAATTTTATTCATTGTGAGCCAGGTACTAAGTTCTGTTTGTGGGGAGTCTCTTGTATTGGTTAAATGGTGTTTTTGTAGCTTGTTAATCGTTGCTTTAGAAATAACTGTGTATAACAGATTTTGGCTCCTTTTCCCGAAGTAAAATTTTTTTCAGAAATTCACTATATTCCAGATTGTATTTTCTCTACCAGTATGTTTGATCTGGATTTTTCCAGCTTATTTAGATACTTAGGTAGTGGCAAAGTTAAACTCTTTGGAGTGGGAAGAGAAATAAAGTTTTCTTTTTTGCTCACTTGCTTTTGGTTGGTTACTTTCTGTGGTGAGATGTCTTTGAGAGGAAGCTTTTCGGGTGGGCAGGGAACCATCTATGTTTAGCAATGCGTTTTACGAAAGCGGTTCTAGTCAAGCGATTTGTTTCAAATTGTAGAACTTCTTTGGCAGTAATCGTATCCAATTCTGTTTGCAGTCCAGTTACAACGCAGGGATCACAACAAACACAGCCGCCACAGAAGCACTATGGCATTACCTCTCCTATCAGCTTAGCAGCCCCCAAGGAGACTGACTGCCTCCTTACACAGAAACTCATCGAGACTCTGAAGCCCTTTGGGGTGTTTGAAGAGGAAGAGGAACTGCAGCGCAGGTGAACTCACCCGCCCGCGTGTGTTTCTTTTCGTGTATAATTTTTTTATTACTGTAATAAACTAGTTTTGAGGCCTTAACCTACTCAGAAAGCCAGAATTCTCCTCTGAAATTTATCTTTTTCAGACAGCAGCAATACTTAGCAAAACCTTTTCTTTCTACATAGAATTTTATTCCCTTAATTTTGAATTTTGATGCTTTTGGGTTATTACAGTACAGATTTGTCAGAAGGGGAGTGGCTGACTCAGCTGAACGAACGTCTTGGCCAGTGTGACGTTGCCTGCCTGCATGTCGTTCCCCACCGTGTGCTTACTTTTTGGAACTTAAAAACTGGTTACAGTCTGGGGAGCCGCCTATTGAGCACCGATTCTCATTTGAGTTAGTAATGAAACAACTTGATACTTGATTGATATTTGCTCTTTTCAACAGGATTTTAATTTTGGGCAAATTAAATAACCTGGTAAAAGAGTGGATACGAGAAATCAGTGAAAGCAAGGTAAGGTGACGTATTCGTATGTGAAATAATTTGCCAGCTGAACACAGCGGTAGTCTTAAGTAACCCCGTTCTTCCTAGAATGGACTTAGTCTTCACTGCAGAGTTTGTTTTAGACCATTGGTTTGATATTTTGTTTCTAGTTATTTTGAAAGCTGGGAAAACAACTGAATTCAGTGACTTATAAGTACTGTCTGGTTGCCATATTTAAAACTGAAACTCAGTAATTACTTATGCTTCACAGAAATAATAGATGTTTCCCTGAAGAGGTGCTTTAAAAATGTATATTAAGGGGCGCCTGGGTGGCGCAGTCGGTTAAGCGTCCGACTTCAGCCAGGTCACGATCTCGCGGTCCGTGAGTTCGAGCCCCGCGTCGGGCTCTGGGCTGATGGCTCAGAGCCTGGAGCCTGTTTCCGATTCTGTGTCTCCCTCTCTCTGCCCCTCCCCCGTTCATGCTCTGTCTCTCTCTGTCCCCCAAAAAATAAATAAACGTTGAAAAAAAAATTAAAAAAAAAAATGTATATTAAGTATTTGAGAATCTTGTTACCTTTTAAGCAATCCTACAGCAACGAACAGTTTTTAGGTTTTCGGATAGTATACTCTCAAACTGAGTATGTTTAGTTTTTTATAACATTCTCTGAATTCCTAAAACTTCATTATGAAAAATCATATATATATATATATATATATGGTGGTTGTATCCATGATGGGGCTTCTGGTAAAGGAAATAAATATATTCTCAGAGTTGTGTGGGGAATTCATTTGACCCATTTTTACAAGTTGCATAGGGGTGCCTGGCTGGCTTAGTCAGTGAAGTATGTGACTCTTGATCTCAGGGTTGTGAGTCTGAGCCCCACATTGGGGGTAAAGATTATTAAAAAAAAAAATTGCATAGATAGTGGTAATTTTCCCAGGGCAGTACAAAATGCATATTTAATGTATAACAACTGTAAAATTGATGGAAAGAGAACCAAGAGTAAAGAAAACCTGAGAGAGATGTTAACATAGAAGAAAGTCTTGGTTTTGGTCAAGTTTATAATATTGTTTTCTTGAAACCACGTGTATATATTTCAAGTAACTGATTAAAACTTCAGCACTGGGAGTATTGTAAATAGGAGATTCCGTGTAGCACATGTTTCTCATTGATAGAATTCCTGATACGAATGAGATTTTTTTTTTTTCATCAAAAAACTTTTTTTAAAATATTTACTTTTGAGAGAGGGAGACAGACAGAGCGTGAGCAGGGGAGGGGCGGAGAGAGACACAGAATTGGAAGCAGGCTCCAGGCTCCTAGCTGTCAGCACAGAGCCCGATGAGGGGCTCAAACTCACAAACCGTGAATTCGTGACCTGAGCCGAAGGCGGACGCTTAACCGACTGAGCCACCCAGGTGACACCCCACGAAGGAGATTTTTAAAAGGAAGTTCTTTTTGAGCTGAGCAGAAGATGTCCAAACTTAAGTATTTTTTCCTCCTTTATCGAACTTCGTGTTTCCTTAACCTTCTGAGGGAAATATCTATGTTTTAATGGCATTGTCTTAGATGTTTAAAACCGCAGCCAAGTAGACAAAGCCAGGACTTAGATTTATTTGATGTGAAAAATGCATATTGCTTCATTGATAGTTTTGTTTCATCTACTTCCTCAAGTGCCTCCTCGTAAGTTTCTTTAACCAGTAATTCTTGATAGAGTTCTTCCTGCTGGTTTTTCTGAGGGTAGAAATTTTGTTTGGGTTAATGAAATTAATGCTCATTCCTGTTCAAATTTATTGGTGTCCTTTTCTGTATAGCTTAACTGCAAGTATTAAGTTGGTTAGAGAATGGGACTGAGGTTAGGCTTCATAAATTTTGATCTTTTGTGTTTGCCTTTTGTAGAGAGAATTTCTTCCTCAGTTTTAAGACTTGATATAGGATTTCTTGATGTTGACACTGTTGGTATTTTTGGATCAGATAGTTCTTTTTTAAGGTTGCTATCTATCCCTGGCCCCATTTTTACTAGATACACCGCCCCTGTCCTCCCTCCCCCCATCTCTCCAAATTATGACCCAAAATATTTCCAGATGTTGCCATATGTTCCTTGAGGAGCAGAATCATCCCTGGTTGAGAAACAGTGATTTAATATATAGTTCCAAATCATTTTTAGTCTTTTGGGAGGGGGGGAATTATATAAAATTTTAATTTTACTTCAGTTGTCTTGTTTGCCATCTATATCCTAAGACTTAAAAAAAAAAAAAAAAAAAAAAAAAGACTTGCAACTTAAAATACTTTTCTGTGCCCCGAATTAAGGAATCTTCATTCTTCATTTCTGGGTAACAATTATTATTTTTTAAATTATTATTATTATTATTTTTAATGTTTATTTATTTTTGAGAGAGACAGAGACAGAATGAGAGTGGGTTGGGGCAGAGAGAGGGGGAGGCACAGAATCTGAAGCAGGCTCCGAGCTGTCAGCACAGAGCCCAACGCGGGGCTCGAACTCACAAGCTGTGAGACCATGACCTGAGCTGAAGTCGGATGCTCCCCCAACTGAGCCACCCAGGCGCCCCATGGGTAACGATGATTGAAATAGCTATAAACATGTTAATGTCTAAATGTGTACTAATACAGTAGCCACTAGCCACGTGTGGGTATTTCAGTTTAAATGAAGTAGAATTAAATATTCAGTTCCTCAGCCAAGCTAGCTGTGTTTTCAAGGGCTTAATAGTGAAGTGAAGCTGATGGCTACTATATTGGACAGTTCTTTAGAGCTTGCTCGTCCAGAAGATTCGTGTTTTACTAGGAAGTCAGTGTTCTCAGGTAGCTTCTTCCTAATTCCCTTTGTAGACCTATTTCAGCAGCATCTTACTGGGTTAATTTAAATAACCAGGCCATCTTTGCATGTGAGGTTTTTAGTTTTCAAAATATAGGAGGACAAAAAAATGTAATATTTTACATACAGATCGTCTGTTTTCTGTAGGTGATGATTAAAAGTGTCCTTAAAAAACAAGGGAGTCCCTGAATCTTTATGATTGATTGTTAGGGTTTTGGAGTATGAAGTAACACTGTTTATGTTATTTGGGGGAGGTGAGGAATGATTTGGGGTTTGGTAGTGAATCAGACTTTACTGAGGAATTAGAAAGTGAAGAGAAACATTGACCTGGCACACGTTAAAATTGTTTTTTGTTTGGGCATGTATTATCCTTACTTCCAGTGGCATTAAATACTCACCATAGTGAGTACCGTGGGTCAGGAAGATGAGTACCAGGGTCAGGAAGATGATTTTTAAATGCTTTCCTTTCCTTTTTCTGGATGTTTCTCCTCTAAGAAACTGTCAGTAAGTTTTCTGTTCAGTCATCCCACCAAAACCTTTTGAGAATCTGAACTATTATGTAGCCATATTGGCCTTAAAGTCACTTTTGATATGGTAAAATTATACTGTGATGTACTATGGGGTATTCAATATGATCATTGAATGTAATCTTCTAAGCAGTCAGAATATGTGTTTTTTTAAATATTCTAACATTCATGATGGGTGCAACATCTTAGTCATGAATAAAAATGAGTAAAAATCTGCTTCTAACACGGCTCCTATGGAATTGCACACTCTCAGTCCTCTTTTATAGCAGTTTCCAGAAATGTGGCAAAATTCTAAAGTGGTTTGGGTCACTAAAGAATGCTCATTAAAAGTTGGAAATTGCCTGAATTTCAAGATTGGTTGATATATGAAGGCCTGGTATTTTGTAGAGCTTATAGAGTTTGTTTTGCCTCCATAAATGTGCACTGAATTCTTACTTGGAGTTGTTTTTTGTTTTTTTTTTTTCTTTTTTCATATATAGTGCTGTTTGCAATAATTTCCTTTGTACTCCCCTGACAAAATACCCATTTTTTTGTTTGTTTCTTTAAACAGAATCTTCCACAATCTGTAATTGAAAATGTTGGAGGAAAAATTTTTACATTTGGATCTTACAGATTAGGAGTACATACAAAAGGTAAATACTGTTTTAATTATCTTGAGACGGAGTACTTGTTTTAGTTCTTAAACATCATAATGACACATTCGTCTCAGTTACCTCTGTATCATACAGCTTAGGTTTGCGTGGGAGATAGAGTACTTCAAGGGGCCTAAAGTTGGTTAAGAAGATAAAGATGCCTTCTAAACCTACACTGTCCAATACAGTATTAAGTAAATGAAAAAATTCAGTTCTGTACAGCATAGGGAATATAGTCAGTAGTATTGCAGTGACGTTGTATAGTAATATGGTGACTGAGAGTGGTGAGCACAGCATAATGTATATATAATGTTGTTGAGTCACTATGTTGTACACCTGAAACTAATACAAGATTGTATGTCAACTGTACTTCAATTAAAAAAAAAAATGCAGTGCCTCCCGTGTTGCAGAGTGCGGATGTAGAACATTTTTCTCATTGGAAAGTTCTTTTTTGGACAGTGCTGTTCTCTACATCATTTCCTCTACCTGAAGAAAATGAAGTTGGGAGATGAGAACAAAAATGAATTAAAGCTTTTAAAAAAGACCTGTGGATTTTCTTTTCTGCTTGCTTTTTTTTTTTTCTCTTCCCCATGCTTTTTTTCCCCCCACAGTTGTAAAATACAGTTAAGCAAAAAAACGAGCCAAAACAGTGTGTATCTGCAGCCACTGGTAATCACTGGCAGTATTTTCTCACTTGCGCTTGTAGTTTTTTCCTACCCAGTGAAAATGTTGTCATGGCAGAGAGCATTTATGGGCTCCTTAATAATAAGCTCTCGCCTTCATGATCTTATTTATTCCTCAGTACTCTTATTCTCAGCTAACAAATAGAAGTCTGAGACTTAAAGAGGCAATAGGCTTGGACAGTTTCTCCCAGTCATGTCTTGGCGGAACCAGGATTTTTCAGCCATTAACCACAGGCTTCTGTGTTAAAAGTGTCTGCCAGTGTAGTGTTCTCTTTGTTCTGGCCTCCTTCCACCCCATCTCCCGCTGCTCCGTGCCAGTGGTAGTTGGTGCATTTGCTTCTGATGTGTCCTGTACGGGTACGCTTTTCTCTTTCATGTATGTGCTAAATATACAGCCTTCAGAGTAATGCCTTAGCTATTGAGGCTTCTAGGAGAATGACTGTGTTGACCTGATTCCACATTGATCTCTCCCTTTTAGGATCCTGGTTCTTGATTTAAGTCATCTCTTTTGTGTTTCCCCTATGTACTACTCTGTGCTGGCCTACTATCAGGCACTGAATTTGTAACAGATATCTTACATTGGTCTGCCTCTTTGATTCTTGCCAGTGATCCTTTTTGAAGTTTATTCTATAGGTCCCATTTAGGGTCCAGATAGAGGCCTGTAAGTACCAGTCACAGAATGTGTAGAAGAAAACTGTGTGTGTGTGTGTGTGTGTGTGTGTGTGTGTGTGTGTGTGTGTGTGTGTGTGTGGTTTGCTAATGAACATGGCTATGACCAGCAACATCAGGATGTTGGGTGTATTCTTGAATAGTTCCCCCTCTTCACCATTAAAGTCCTATCTGAGTCCCCTTTGTTTGACTCCCAGGTCACCTGGGCCGCTATAAATAGGATGCTGTAGGAAAAAAGATATCCCATCAATTAAGATGACGTTTTCCCTATATTGACCAGTACTTTCTTTAAGGGGAAGGGCACATTTTTAGAGGCTCACCGGTATAATGTTAACAGAATCTCAACATCAAGTACTGCCATGATAAGATGTAAAATAATTTTCTTGTAATAGTAATTAGTGGTTGATGGGCTTAATTTTTTTTAGGTGCCGATATTGATGCGTTGTGTGTTGCACCAAGACATGTTGATCGAAGTGACTTTTTCACCTCATTCTATGATAAGTTGAAATTACAGGAAGAAGTAAAAGATTTAAGAGTGCGTAAATGTTTGGGGTGAAAGGGGAGGAGTTATAAACATCAGTGAACTGAGTGAATTTTATGGTGTAGCCATCATTTATTGAGCTCTTGCAGTTTGCCAGACCCTTTCAAGTGCTTAACATGTATGCTTGCATTTTACTCTTTACAACAAGTCTGAAATCATAAATTTAATCCCATGAACAGAGTAGGAAATAAGGCAAACAAAATAAACATTAAACGATGTAGCCACAATGACATATCTGAGTGGCAGAAATCAAGGATTTGAACCTAGGTTTGTCTGATTCAAGAGCCTAGTGTCTTAAAGCTAGTTGCTGAGAACCTAGTCTTTGTCAGGCATTTTGCTAAATTATGTATAAGCAGTTTCAAATAATCCCATTCACTTACAATTGCTAAAACTAGTATAGGTCTAATCTGTACTTGGCAGCGACACTGAGTTTATTTAATTTTCTTACAGGCTGTTGAAGAGGCATTTGTACCAGTTATCAAACTGTGTTTTGATGGGATAGAGGTAAGGCAGTTCTTGCTGTGTGTAATTTTGATTGGGGTAGGCTGAAAGTTTATTTTAATTGCTGAGTTGGTATGATACTAAAATTTTTTTGGGGCGGTGCCTAGGTGGCTCAGTCGGTTAAGCGTCCGACTTCAGCTCAGGTCACGATCTCACAGTTCGTGAGTTTGGGCCCCGCATCGGGCTCTGTGCTGACAGCTTAGAGCCTGGAGCCTGCCTCGAATTCTGTGACTCCCTGTCTCTCTGTTCCTCCCCCGCCCATGCTCTGTCACTCTCTCTCCTTCAAAAATAAATAAAAACATAAAAATTAAAATTTTTTAACGGAATTGACTCCCGGTTCTTTGTACAATATCAGTTTTAGTCTTTTAAAAAGAGCCTCATGAAATTGAGAGCTAAAATATAGGCAGCAATAATGCAACATTGACTTTGAAATGCTTCTGTGGAACCATTTACTTGGTAGGTTCTCCACATGCAAATTTTATAGACTTTTAGTCTCATTAAGGCAATAACACAGTCTATTTTTGCAGCTAGAACTTTGCCTTGACCTCATTTAAATGAAATATTTAAGAAGTTTAGAGAAAACTGTGACCTGATATTGTGTATGCAGAGAGATTTTCTGGGAGGGGAGGATTTAGGAGTTCAAATTCTTGAGATGACACTCATTTCTGTCTGCTACTTTCCACATTTGTAGAGAAGGCAGTTGGAACAAAGCTGATAAGACAGTGAAGCGCCTTCAGTTACCTGTGTCACTTCTGCCGTATGTAATGGTGCTGGGAAGCCACTGGTAGTCATAGTGCAGATTGTAAAATTCTGAAAACTGGAAGGGTAATGCTTTATTGTTTACAAAAAAAGCGACTTCTGTAATTGCTACATAAAATGCCCAGCTCCATCGTCCTTGAAAAATAGATATAAAATAAGTACACGTTAAATGTTAAATTTAGTAAAGGTCCTTAATAAGTTGACATAAGATGTTAAATTGAGTAAAGGTTTGTCAGGTTTAGATAGATTTGTTGTCAATGTTTAAATAAATATAAAACCGTCTGTAACGTATAGCAGTGCCCTGTTTTCCCCAAAGGAACGTTATCAAAAGATAGGAGGTTGTGTTTTGGTGGAAGACCCAACTCAATTGTGTAAACTTTTCAAGATGGAGATGAAAATCAAATAGTTACTCAAAATATTTAATGTATTCATTTTCTGTCCATACGTTATATAAAAAAAACAGTTTTAGGGAATGTGTTTACATTGCAACATTTTAAAAATCATTTTATCCTAACTTTTTTTTTTTAAGTTTATTTTTATTAGAGAGAGAGTGAGAGCGCATGTGCGCCATGCACCAGTCGGGGAGGGGCAGAGAGGTGAGAGAGACAGTCAGTCCCAAGTAGGGTCCACGCTCAGCGCAGAGCCCAACACGGGGACACGGGGCTTAATCCCATGATCGGGAGATCATCTTAATGGACTGAGCCAGCTGGCCACCCCCATTTTATCCTAACTTTAATTGGCAGTCTCCTTGAGTTGCTTTTTGAGGTATCTGTTTTTGTAAGCACATGATCATTATTTCTGTCTATATTGGAGGAGCTATTTGGATGTTGGAATTTGTTTCAATGGAACTTTTTTTTTAATTGTTTTTAATGTTTGTTTATTCTTGAGAGAGAGACAGAGCATGAGCAGGGGAGGGGCAGAGAAAGAGAGAGAGAGAGGGAGACACAGAATCTGAAGCACGTTCCAGGCTCTGAGCTGTCAGCCTAGAGCCCGAAGCGGGGCTTGAACTCACAAGCCGTGAGATCATAACTTGAGCTGAAGGTTGTACGCCTAACCGACTCAGCCACCCAGGCGCCCCTCATTGGAACTTTTATCCTGTGCCACGAGGAATTATTTATAAAAGTGTACAGCTGTTTTTCTGGTCTATAGGTGCATGTTTGAGTGATTTTTCACAATAAGCTCTTAAAATACTGCTTTTTAAATTGATACTCTAAGAGGCTTATTTTAGACATAGACAGCATCCGAAGTTTTAGAACCATGAAATCATGCCCTCAGGAATAACAACCAAATCCATGCCGTTTCTTCGTGCTCTCACCTTTTCTTGAGGAAAAGGGAAAAAGTGTTGTCCGTTTCATTCTCTAAGCCTTCAGAATTAGCTAGTGGTTTTTTTTTTTTTTTTGGGTTGTTTCTATTTAGTCAAAACTAAGTTGGGGAAACATAGTGTAATGTTACAGATATGTAAGTTCTTAAACATAAGGAGCCCCCTTTTTACTGGCAGCTGTATTTGGGCTAAATGTAGGGATACTGGCCTTGTATTTGGGCACTGTATTGTTTCATATATGATCAATTCACAGTTCATATAGAGGGAGAACTAAACAGTTAATTTTTGCGTTAATGAACTTTAGTAAATAAAACTTAGTAAGCATGACTAAAATGACAAGTAGGTATTTATTCAAGTTCTCTTTCATAGTGCTATGTTTTAACATCTGATTAAAATACCTGTGGTACAGGGGCGCCTGGGTGGCTCAGTCGGTTAAGCGTCTGACTTCGGCTCAGGTCATGATCTCGCAGTTCGTGAGTTCAAGCCCCGCGTCAGGCTCTGTGCTGATGGCTCAGAGCCTGGAGCCTGTTTCAGATTCTGTGTCTCCCTCTCTCTCTTACCCTCTCCCCATTCATGCTCTGTCTCTCTCTGTCTCAAAAATAAGTAAACATTAAAAAAAAAATTAAAAAAAAAAATACCTGTGGTACAGATTCGTGTTGTTTGGCCTTTTGGAGGCATTGTCATGTTTATAGTTGATGAGAAGATCCTGGCTTTAAAGAGTATTAAGTGTTTTGTTTTTTTAAAGAAATGCCTTAAAAATAGTTTGCTGTATATGGAACATTGAGTTTTGTTTTTGTTCTAGATTGATATTTTGTTTGCAAGATTAGCACTGCAGACTATTCCGGAAGACTTGGACTTACGAGATGACAGTCTGCTTAAGAATTTAGACATAAGATGCATAAGAAGTCTTAACGGTATGTTAAAACCCACTTCCATTTGTGTAGTAGCTGTTCTTGTCAAATATGAAATCGTTTTTAACTCAGATTTTATAATGGAGCTTTTTATAGCCATGCTATTTACCCATAGCAATAAAATACACGCTAAAATACAGATACACAGATAAAATACACGTTACTTAATAGCTAGACTGCCAGAGGGAATTTATTTTATTCACTGGTATCTTGAACTGTTAATGTGTTTTCTTTCTGGGACATTTAAAGACTGACATCTGTACTCTGTTGCTAGTGGTGTCGGTTTCACTGTATAACCGAATTAGTTGTGATGACGATGATCCTTTGTAACCTTTTCAGATGTTGTGTTTAAAGGGGTTAATTTTGAACACTGTTGTATTTACGTTGCTTGTTGCCTTTTGCTGTCAAAGAATAATTCTTGGAAACTTAGGGGGAGGAAACCCTTCTCAGCATATCTGGACTGGAAGACGTTTTAATTTATCTGATGAAAGTTTGAGATGAGGTAGATTATAGTTCAGACTCTTTGGTTTATGGTAATACTTGTGATAGGAGATACAAGTTTTAGGTTTTTTATTTGCTTTTTAAATCAGTTAATGTTACTGATTCTGTGAAATGTTTTTATTTAAGTTTGACATCAGTCTTAGAAAATTGAAAAGAAATATGGTCATTAAACTTTTGATGATTTAATGTTCTGTTTTTTCACTCCCTGTTAATCAGGTTGCAGGGTAACCGATGAAATTTTACATCTAGTACCAAACATTGACAACTTCAGGTTAACTCTGAGAGCTATCAAACTGTGGGCCAAACGTGAGTTCAGAATTTGTTGGCTAGCTTATTAAAAATGTTTAAACTTTTGTTCAACACTAACTTTTCTTTTTGCTTTTCCCTTATCAACAGGCCACAACATCTATTCCAATATATTAGGTTTCCTCGGTGGTGTTTCCTGGGCTATGCTAGTAGCAAGAACTTGCCAGCTTTATCCAAATGCAATAGCGTCAACTCTTGTACATAAATTTTTCTTGGTATTTTCTAAATGGTATGTGTTTAGATTATATTAAAATAAAATTGATTGTAGACACTGAAGTTTAGTCTTATTTCTATGACATTTCTGCAGCTGGTTTCAGATTGAAATTTTAGTTCATGATGTAGCCATTTAGGTAGACTTGGGGAGATCATATTGTGTAGAAAATGGCAAGCCTAAATTCCGTTCCTTTTCCCTGGCTTTCCCAGGATAGTAAGGCAGGTGCTTTTTGTGCTTCCTTATCCTGCAAATAAACCCTGAATTTTAGCTGTCATGTCTGCTAAAATCCAATGAATGGTATCCGTTTCAGGAACTTGGGATAAAATTTATATATACCACTTCTTTTACTCTTTGGATTCTTCTAAACCTATAGGTCATTAGTTTTGGGAATTGTTTTTTGTTTCAGTTGCCCATTTATCTTTGGCGCAAAGCATTAAAAATGTAATTGTATGTAAAAAGCTTTTAAGAATATAAATGTGTAAAAAATGGCAATTTGTCATCCCTCGGAGATTAGTCATTGACCCAGGAGAGTTTTTTTTTTTTCCCTTAAAGCTTCCTCATTTCATTATGTTCACATTTGTCAAACATTATTTCTTTTAGAACAGTAAGATAAAAAATTATTGCCAATTCATATTAGTTGCTTTGGCCTAAAAGATTCAGTTTCTTGATTTTTAATCAAATTGGTATCAGAGATTTGTCTTCCCACTCTATACCTACGAACCCCTGTACCTACTCCCTCTGCAAAAACAGTTCTTTTTAATTACTTTTATAAAAATTTGAGTTATTGGAAATATAATTGAGAACTATGCCACACTTTTCAGTACACATTCTGTTATTTACAGATTTGATAGCACTGAATCACATATAATCAATTTTGAGGAGATTGACTACAGGATGTCAGGATTTCTGTAATGTTACACATACATAGCAAACAATATTTCTAAAAAGCTAAGCTTGATACTAAGGGTGGCAAATGTTTTCCAATTTTTAAACACTTCCATAAAGGACTGAGGTAGCTAACTCATAGAATGCGTCTTGAAAACAACGTATTTGCGTCACAAGGTTTCATTACACATATTCATGTTAACAACTTTTAAGTTGTGAGATAGAGAAAAGTTTTCCAAATCAATTTCTGTAATTCATATTCCTTTGCCTAAATGAGTGAACTTTTTCATCCTCACTTGTCTTTGAACATAGCTAGTATAAAGAGAGGATTTTTATCTTTCAAGAGGGATTTATCCTGTTGAAGGTTGAGGTGAACACATCAAATGTCCTGGGATAGTACTGAAAAAAAAAAAAAGAATAACGCTTTATCAGTTCTTTGAGAGTCAGAGAAGATGTTTTGACTTCAGCCTAAGAAAGCTACCAAATGGTTTAAGTTAATTTCATAGAGGAAAAGTATTTTGAGTGGTGTTAACATCAACAGAAAGGAGTAAGAGATTTTATATATCAAGAGGGCAAAATGAATGAAGAAGGATCACATTCACAAATGCTGTATGTTTAACAAAATACGTTTAGATGGTAATATCCAATAGTCTTATCAAGTGCTACAATCTTTTTAAACAGGGAATGGCCAAATCCAGTGCTATTGAAACAGCCTGAAGAATGCAATCTTAATTTGCCTGTATGGGACCCAAGGGTTAGTGTATTATTTTTTCCCCTACAAATTCGCACTGTGCAATAACAAGTAAAAATCATCTGCATAATCTTCAGGGAGATTTCCCATCCTTTTACGTATGAGTGGACATGTCCGTATTACACTTTTTTTTTTTTTTTTAGATAACATCAACTATAATTGTCCTCTGATGTGAGAAGCATAATTATGTACCCTGTAAACTCCATTTAATTGTACATAGTTTATAATATCAAGTTCACTAACATTTTAATTTATTCTATATAGAACTACCTTGTAAGTCAAAGTTGTGTGGGCATTTGTGCTTAAAAAAAAAAAATAAAAGATACTCAAAATCCCTGTATTTTTTTATTTGATCTAAATGTTAAAATTGGGTTGTGGTAGGAGAACTGTCTAATGTTTACGTGTGGCAGATAACTTCTAAGCAGTATCGCTCTGATTATTATGATGTAATTTTAAAAATTGGTTGGGATATTTCAGATTACAAAAACCTGGTTGGGCTAAAAGAAGAGCTTCTTTTCTGCTTTATGGGAAATTACGACCTTTATCGCTTACTCAGTTTAAATGTTAACAAGCAATTTTTTAATTGATAAAAGAAACATAGGTTTCAATAAGACTTTAAGGTCTATAGATTCGATTTTCTACATTAATTTGCTGTCTTATTGCAGTATTGAAAATAATGTCAGTTTTAAATTCTGTTAATTACATCAAGCTATGTATTTTCAAGTTTTCCAAACCCCAAGCATTTAATTTTAGAAGGATGTGAGTTTACCATTTCCTTTGTGGAAATATGTCACGTATCATTAGTATACAGATTAAGTTATTAAGTCATTTCATTTTTATCTTAAAATGGTACCACCATGGGTAACCTAGTCTCCGCATGTGTTAATAAGTTTATACGTCCTTTAAGTTAACGGTACATTAAAAACTATGTTTCCATCTTGTTTAAAATTTGTTTTGCACAGAACACTGTTAGGACGTTTCCGAAAAGTATAATTATGTGTGCATCCCCATTTCTGTTGTTGAAAAAAGAAAAACTAAACATCAGTAGATGCCCAACTAGAACTTTTTTTGCTCGACAGGTACACTATTTAAGGTTGCCAGAATAGTCATGCCCAAATGATTGAAGCAAACCTTTAGTTTAGACCAAATCTCTAAAGATTCTATAAAGAAATTCTGTAAAAACAATGTCTCCTTACATGGTTTTTCTTTCTCAACTCCAGCTATGAGTGAACTAAAATTTAATCATTGGTTCAGTTTAACAAGGGGTAAAAAGTCCAAGTATCTGTTGCATATGTACTTGAAGAAACTGATTGGCTGTTGTTGTATGTAGGTAAACCCCAGTGATAGGTACCATCTTATGCCTATAATTACACCAGCATACCCACAACAGAACTCCACGTACAATGTGTCCGTTTCAACACGGATGGTCATGGTTGAGGAGTTTAAACAAGGTAAGTGTTTATCCTTATGCTCTCCTTTATACACGAAGGATTTACATACCATTGTAGACCCAGTTATACAGTTGAAATTGAAGAAAGCATTCACTGAAGTGGGTTTTGGTGTTTATTGATTGATTACAGTATGTATTTGAGAAGTGACTTGAAAAGCTCCATTCAATTCCTTTGAGGCAAATTATGTTTGATTATATACTGGAAAGTTAACCAGTTTAAAGCTGTCTCCTTGGCTGTGCCTTTACGGGCTGCTTTAGTGCCATACCATTGCCATGTACAGTTTTAAATGCTACCTACCAGTTTGTCTCCACTGGGTGACGTGAGAGATGCTTTTTACCAGGCACTGTATATACTTGGAAAGAGCTTTGAGCAGGATTGGGGCCAAAGTGCCTATGATTTTGGAAAAACCTCTAAACTTCCATTTGCAGCAGTACTGTTAATTTCATTGCCTAAAAAGGTCTTTGAGGGAAGTAGCTGAAACAGGATTGTTTGATTTGCTTGATAATAGTCAAGGACACAGAATTAGCTGTACCACTACCGGCTTCAAACTCAGAAGTGTAAGATTCTTTTCTGTAGTCTGAAGAGGCTCTTCATGGGAGGATGTCGCTTAGGAACATCAGGAAGCTTGTTTTTAGAAAGGCAAGAATCAGAGCTTTGGGGAAATTTTTCTTTCTTGGTTAACGACAGTGCTTCAGTTTTTGGAGAGAGTCCTCCTATGAGCATGGCATTTAGAGTAATGGTAATTTACCAGAAACCTGGCTCTCAAAAAATCCTCCAGCTTTTTGAAAAGTGTGTACGTATGTAAGAGTCTCTGTGCTATAAAGTCGATAGACCAAAATTTTTATTTGTTAAAGTTCTGATTTTAGGATCATAGTGAATGCATGTGGTATGTTTAAGATCTTTAAAATTTTAGATTGTTAGACCGAAGCATGCCAACATTTTAATATGTTTTTAATTTAGGTCTTGCTATCACAGATGAAATTTTGCTGAGTAAGGCAGAGTGGTCCAAACTTTTTGAAGCTCCAAACTTCTTTCAAAAGTACAAGTATGTATTTTAAGGCATGTCAGACATGTTACTCTCTTAAGTAATGGTTTAATGGTAGCATATGTGACCTCTCTTCTTGCTAGGCTAATGTAGTTTAAATTTTCCTTCCTGTCACAAAGGTTGTATTGATTTTAGTAAACCCCTTATTTTTTCTTTGTTGAGGTGAAGTGTAGCCCCTACCGTTTGCTACCTGGTGTAACCCAACTCCCACGTATGTAGCAACATCCATTCTGTAGGCGTCTCAGTCGTCACCTGAACTCTCAATCTGTATGCTTTGGCAAAGGAGTGAGCAGTTGAAATCTGTAGTTACTGTTCTCTCTTAGGAAACTATTTCCAGCCAGCTCTGGAAACTTACCATTGAGATCCTATATGAACATAGGCAGAGCTAATAAAATGTCAACATAGAGTCAGGAAAGGGTTTCTAGTAAGTAAAGCACATGATTGGCCTACCATTTCCCCCTAATGTTAATAAAGCCCCTTCCGACATTGCTACAAATAATTATCTTGGGATCTAAGTGGGTGTAATATTTTTTACTAATGGTTTTAATATAATGATAATACCATAGTACAGGTTAAAAGCCTGATTGTGTTGGTTTTGATGAAAATTGTAAGTTATAATAAATCTTACTTTTTAAAACGAAAAAAACGGACTTGCACTTTTATTTGCCCTGAGCTGAAAACTTGCCAAAGTCCCACTTAAAATTTTTTTTTTCTTTAATGCTTGAAACTTTCCTGACCATTTGATCTTGTGTTGGATTGTGTTTTGTAATAATCTAAGCAAGGTTGCTTTATGCTATTTCCCCAATTAAAAACAAGAATGATGACCTTCATGATGTCTCTGTGTTTTGTTTCTGTATCTTTTGCATGAAAAAGCAATATGGAGCCAGCTTAATTGTTGTGTTCTGGGAGCACTGCGTTGTCAGTAAAAAACTTAAATAGCATAACATTGAATGCTCATGTTTATTATTCCCCGTAAGTTTGTGCTTTTCCATTTGGCAGATTTTTTTTTGGTTTTTTTTTGTTTTTGTTTTTATTTTAACCAATGTTGAGGAAGTACCTTTTGAACATTTAAACTAATAAACATATATTATTCTGATACTTTAAAAACTACAACATCAAAGTACTTAATTACTTGTATGGAGAATAAGGAAGAAACTGGTTTTGTAGAAAAGTATCAGCATCTCTTAATCCCTGAGAATCAAAGACGAAATTAGATTCATTCTTCCTATCACTTCCTGGTAGAACTCGAGGTGGGTAGAATGAGGTTTCTGAAATGGCTTCCTTCACTTGAAGAAAGATTAATTGTTGAAATGGAAACCTTGATAGTGTCATCTATTTGAATAAATTTGCATTACTAGAGCTTTGA